TGGAGCATTTTATTTATTTATTTGAACACATATCAGTTTCAGTTTGGAAAGTACAGGAGGCTTGATGGCCTGTGTTAGTCCTGGCAATTGTGTTCTCTCAGTTGATCCAACTTTCTTTTGAAAGAATCTACGGATGGAGCTTCAACCACGTGTTGAGGTAATGAATTCCACTCGTTGATGATTCGATGGGAAAGTCGATAATCAGCTGACAAGTAATTTGTTCTGGGCTTGTGAACATTTCTGGAGTGTCCTCGTAAATTCTCTGTTTTGGAAGACAGGAAAAATGAGGGCATATCAGGTGCCAATTTATCACTAAGCAATTTGGAAACTGTAATCAAGTCGCCTATAGTTCTACGATATGACAAAGGGAATAGGTTTATCTTGGCCAGTCGAGCATCATACGGAAGCTTCGCTATTCCGGGAATCAGCTAAGTTGCTGTTCTCTGGTAACCGGTGACCAACAATTGGTTCATCTCATCCGTTGAAGGCATCGATCGTTACCCGGAATATCGAGTTGTTATACTTGGGGACTAAGTGTAAATTTTCACACTGAGAGGACATCACTCCTGAGAAATTTGGTCTCGGAACTGCTTCGCAAACACTTGTCATATTAATTGATTTATTATAAAGTTGAATAGGGATTCTACGTGACCTATATGAGGTGTTAGAGCACTCAACATCTGCTACAATAAAATCTGAAACGTGATCAAGGTGCCATTTTCCCCTAAATTTTCTATAGTGGCTTCCCCAAAATTATGAGATTCGTTTGGTATAGCTCATGAACTTCAAGTCTCTAGCGGCTTTAGGCAGCCTTTTACTTATCTTATCAACCTATAAATAACTATTCTGAAATAGACAATTAACAGTAGTCAGACAAACAAAAGCATTAATCGAAATTATGGACAGTACAAATAATCCAGCTGTAAGGCGTGAGAATTTTGAAAAAGTGATTTAAGGCTGACGACTCATAATCTCGTGTCCGTTTGACGTACTAAAACAAAACATGTGATTGTAATTTCATCTTATAAGGCTTAAAAATTCACTGATGATAAAATGTTTGTCTGGATAACTGTGTTACAAAGACTTTTGGGTTTTTCCACAAACTTTGGGGAAGGTCATTTAACTTTGTGGATTTCCCCAAACTTGGGAGATTGGGAAATGACAACTATTTGCATCATTATCCATACATACGCACTTAGACCCATGTGTTCCTTTTTATTTATTCTAATTATTTTGAAGCTTTATGTCACTGACAGAAAAATCCATTTATTTTTCAGATCCATTCAAAATGAATGAATTCCTCTCATTTACAATGACAATCTATAGCACTCTGATCCATTTGTCATTTGTTGAATGTGACTGTGATAATTAATTAGAAGTATTCGAATTATTATAATAACTAGTAATCCCTAAAACAGTGCAATTCAAGACAAATAGAGCACAAACAAATGTATTATATTTAGAATACGAAACCGAGCGGGCAATTCAGTACAAAAGAATCACTAGTTTATACAAACATCACTGTGAGACTGTGTTTTTGTTTGAATAACATATCATAATGGCAATCCTAACCCGCTCAGATAAGGATCCAAACTCAGTTTGAACATTGGGACTAAATTAAGGAAGCCATTAAACTTAGTGTGTTACGTAATTGTTATCTTTTAAAGCTATTTTAATTATTTTATGATTCATCGATCATCACTGGTCTGTCTGACAATCATTTTTTCACCTTGTCCTTATCACCATATATTCAAGGTTCAATCATGATGAACATGATCTATTCACTAACATATATTCAGTCATTACAGACAAGATTTAGTGCACTCTTGAGTCAAGTGATTTACTACATCTGTTTTCGCTTGGAGGTATTTTGAATCACTCGCTCTCCAAACATTTATGGTAACCAATCAATGTATCGAATTTTATATCCCTTAATTTCGTTGTGTATTATCCTGGTAAAGGAACCCTTGTGAATGATATAGATCCCAACATTTCAAATACATTGTGAGAGATAATTTCCTACAGTTATAGTCAACGAGTATTTTGAAATTAATAGTTATAATAGACCTTTTATTTAAATGCTAAATTTCAAACTAATCACTTGCTTATGTTGTTGATGCTTGGCTATAAATATACAAAGTATTTGCACTAGGTTCAGTATAATACTCAATATATTTCTGAAATGACGATGAAGCTGAAGATACGAAGGAAGTGAAACGTTATTATCTAACAAATGTTACATAATGTTTGCTTAATAATACATCCTAATGATTTCATCTGAAGATTCTGTTAACAAACAGAAACTAATTCAGTGGAAAAAGTTAGTCGCTCAAAGATAATAATCAGTGAAGTATATATAATGGTCGTTTCCAAAAACTTAAAGTGATTACATTGAATGTTGAACGAAGAGTCTACATATCACAAGAAGTTTGAGTAAATGTTTAAACATCATCAAGTAGGAATTTAGTTGACGGTTGTTATCTAATGATGTATTCATGTTCTTGTTGATAGAAAATAATGTAAAAATGTATTTTAATTAATCAAATGTCAACTAGTTCATGGTTACCATTTCTGTTGGTATTGTGTTTAAGCTTTTTACGCGTCTTACTAAGAAAAATGTTGTCCATATTAATTATTATCCATCACACAACTCTAAAGCATTAGGTGGATTGATGTGTTCTACTACATGTTAACCATCAGATGAAGTTTTACCAATGGCGAGCTAACGTGTAGGTATCCTCATGTGTTCATCATAAGCGATCAAAGAGCAATGAAGTACGTTTGTAAACACTTGATATTAGCGTTGACCCTGTTAGCTTTAACAGAAATGTTTCAACCAGAGACTCTGAGACAATCATCAGCATAATCATCATCACTAGATCACCTCACAACTTTCCGTGAAAATTTTCCCCTGCTCAAGGTGATCAGTTTCAAATTCTGACACTGTGCAATCCCTGCACACAATTAATATGTCTTCCCTCAAATATCATCGCGTCTTTCCGTTTTTGCCTTTTGATCATTTTGTAAGAAGATATGTGCTTACCACTGTCAGACAATTACGTACAGTTAACGCACTGCCAAGAAACTTGACGACAATCGATCTATCGCTGTAAATAGAAGGCTGATCCGTAAGACATTAAAACTACAAATTATTCATTAATAAATAACGTTTGCATTTTTTAGTAACGAAAGTACGTTACGTAGACGCTGTACTATCATTCGAAATGTTCTTGAACAAAACAAAAATGTTAATCCTTTAGTTAACAAAAACTATCATGGCAATCAGCAAATCCTGAACTTTATGTAAAACATTGATGACATATCAACGGTATAACAATATTGTGAATACTCGGAATAATAAACTCACAGTTACGTCTGTTAACACTTGAGAAGTCAGATGAGAATAAAATGGATAAGAAATAATTTTTTCTGTATAAATGTTTATCACAAACTAACATGTTAACAAAAACCGGTTTTTAATCAAACATCTAAAGCGCATTTACCTCACCATTTCTTTGGGTTGTGATTCATGCTTTTTGACTTTATCTCTTGTGTCGTGCAACAAAATCTGCCTTGCAACATCCATGGTGTACGCTACTGCTTTCTCAGGACATGTAGCACTTCGGAACTAGGAACACAAAACACCTACAAATATATTAATACTGTAGTGCGGTCTTATTTTGAATTGTCCGGTAAAATTTGTGCTTACTAATACCAAGTTTACTTCGCTATAGGTGAAAAGTTTCCTGTCAAAACGTTGACAGGAAATGAAATAAAAGTGATTAAGTCTTGCCAAAACAATGGAGTACAGTGCATTTTCTCAAAGTGAAGCCGATATCGCAATCGATTGTGTGAAGAACATCGGCCACTGTCACATCATCCCGATAAATAAAATGTTCGTTGTTCAGCAGCCACTTCCTAGGGATGACAACAACTTGCTTTTTCCCTTTATCATTAATCAAGATGTACTGTTCTGATTAATGCTAAAAATCAATGCCAAGGTGTTAAAAATAGAAATTTTATTACATTCATTAAAAGTTCGTGATGGACCGGTTCGAAGCATTAACCAACAGGCACACTTACTGCACAAAGTATTATATTTGCGACAGGCCTTGAGAAATGATGTCACACTTTCTATTGATATGTATGTACAATAGGAATAATAATCTCATAATGTGTCGGTATAAAAATACACTTTTTAAGTGTCTATATAAATCCCTATTGTCAGCGATTCTTGTAACTCAGCTACAAGTGCTGCTGATATTTCGTTGAAATCAGACAGTTTCACTTGACCATCATAGATCACAACGATGAAAGGACTTTTAATGAATGTAATAAAATTTCTATTTTTAGCATTAATCAGAACAGTACATCTTGATTAATGATAAAGGGAAAAAGCAAGTTGTTATCATCCCTAGAAAATAGCTGCTGAACAACGAACATTTTATTTATCGGGATGATGTAACAGTGACCGATGTTCTTCACACTATCAATTGCGATAGCGGCTTCACTTTGAGAAAATACTACAATCTAAATAGTACATATTGTATTTAATAGAGATAATGAACAACAATTCAAGCAGAATAAAATGAATTCATTTTATTTCTTTTTGTAATAATTTGTTTAGTTTCTTAGATTTGTATACATTCTTACTACATTCTACTGTTAAGTATTAAGAATAACTGTCAAAATGAGTTCATTTACGAAAGTCATCTTAATACATTTATAACTGATGGGATCCCGAAGAAATGATCTAATCCATGTCGGGTAGAGACATGTATATACCTCAGTTACAATGAAAGATAGTCGCGCAATTTCATAAATTGGTTGAGGTGAAACATTAATCTCACTGGATACCAACTTAGTGGTCTCGATAATTAAGCATTCACGTCTGCAGGATCTTGGATGCTCACTGCTGAGGAATCACACAATAGAATGAAACAGCTGTTCACTGCTTCTAGATTTTCAATGTTGATCTAACATCAAAACACTTCATGATCTCAATCAAATTGTTTTATTGATTATTTTTCAACTAATTTAATAAAACAAGTACATATTCTATAAAATCAAAAGCAAATCAAGCACAAATCACTAGAAAAACACATACACACACAAACACAAAACAATTTTATACATACTAACAAGATAACACACAATTCAGTTAGTTAGCGTCAGTGAGGTAGTTACAATGTAGGACCAGGCACATAGATGCATCGGTCCAAGTTGCCACAGAAACAGCAAGATGAACACTAAATTCATAGAAGCGATCAACTCAATGGTGGTAATATATAAAGGAAAGATTACACAATTCAATTGTTTCTATTCATTATGTCTACATAGAAATAATTGTATTTGAATAATAAGCATATTGTTTATTATAATAAATCAATTCCATTACGACGATAAAATTCACTTTCCACTAGCATAATTCGAGCATGTTTACGATCATTATTTTCAATATTTTTATTTAAACGATGTCCATATATTGATGATGAAAGTGATGGTATACCCTTAGTTTTCTCCTATAATGAAATTAATTAATCAGTTTAGTAGAAAAGGTTCAATAAACAAAATCAAAAGATGAAGATCATGAATCAATTGATATTAGAGCACCATTGAAAACCTGGAAGTACTGGACGGCCGTTTTGTTCATGTGCTCATTAGTGACTAGCTTTGTGTGAGAATTCTCGGAGTTCTAGTGAGAATCCATGACTAGTGGAGCTAATCCGTGTCAAGTAGAGACATGTATCTACCTCAGTACAATGGAAGATGGTCTCAAAATTTCATGGATTTGTTGAGATGAGATATTAACACCATTGGATTCCGGCTCAGTTTTCTCAATGTTATGCGTTCGTGTGCCAGACCAAATGTCCTGACTTTAAATCCTGCAAAGGGGTTCGTACAAGCGCACTGCTGAACAGTCTCACAATAGGACAAAATGGCCGTCCAGTTCTTCCAGGTTTTCAATGATGGTCTAACATTAAACAAAGACTTAATAATCTTCATAACCCTATACTGATAATTATAGAAGAAATAATTAGAAATGATACTTTCAGAAGTTGATAAAACTAACTAGTTGTTCAAATGAATAAATTTTCATTCAACTAGATCATAGATGCCTTAAGAACAAATCAAGTGTTATCACTACTCTAGTATATCATAATGAGCATTTTTAACTTCAGTGAAAGATGCTCAGTAGTATTTACTTGAAAAGTTGTAAATGTATAGTATAATAAAGTTGTGATTAATAGTACTAAATTACAGGATATTGATCCATAAAGCTTAATCTTAACAAAGATTGCTTTTATATAAAATCATATATCAAATGTTAAAGCAGATAGTTAAACAACTAATCAAGGATACAGTTTAGGATGCTTTGTCAGCTGCCGCCAAAATGCTAGAAAAAGAATCTTGCGTAATGTAAAACTTGTAACTAATGTGTCTGAATGAACCCACCTAACGTTTGTTAAGAAGTCAATTAAGTATTCAGAAAGTGATCAGTGATGATAATTGATCTATGAATTTATAATTCATATCATATGTTGTTTCCTACAGATGAAAGAAGTGAACTGAATAATATTCTCATATCATAAATCATCAGGTAAATACAAGAATGTGACAAGAGCACTTAACAATAAAATATTATTGAGCTTTAAGATATGGTGAGATCATTTGGCTTAGTAATTTTCTGTATTAGCTCACTACTATTCTCGACTCGACAGACAGGTAATGAGCTTCGTTTAGTGTGATGTTTTGAGGCCAATATTTTCTTACATTAATTTAGTATTAAATTTGGTTTAGAAGATCTGAACTTTCGTTCAATGTAACAATTGTGTTCCCTGTATTGATTTCGATGAACTATATTCAGTGTGTGTATTTTTATAGTAAAATTATATACCCTGTCCCTCTGTGTGATATTACTAAATGTGAAAAAGTGAAGATATGATTTTGAACTTGATTCTGGGACTTGTTTGGGAGCGCTTTTTTTGTAGAATCAGTAAATATTCATTTCGTTAGTCTTTTGCGTTCCTACTCGTTTCGTGAGAATTGTAGTGGTCCTCACTTCAAAGTATAAGCATTAAGACTCCGGAGACAACATAATGGATACATGTATTAACAGATGCGACCGCCAGACACAACAGTAGGGGTCCGTATGAAACACTTGATATCAGTGAAAATATCATAATAGCTCCCAATCGAATTTTGCAACAGTAACCTCAACATACATGTACGGAATTCTTCGTGATTAGCAATGTCTTTAAACAACCTGGGAGCAAGTCATTCATCTGTAGCGTTAAAAGTTTTGTGCAGCACGAAGACACCGACTGAAGACAAAATCTTTGAATAATAGATTATAATTGAGTGCCGCAAGAGCTCCAAAGTTACAGGATCCATTAAATATTTGTTCGTAATTGTGGACTGCTAATAAATCACAAACTGTTAAAAAGCAGTTGTTTGGTGTGCCATGGCTTACTACACATCTTTAGGTCTTGTTATGACCACAATAAACAACTCAGAATATAGTGGTTTAGATTTTCAATCTCAGTTTTTGATATTGTGTAGTTGAGTTGGTATGTAATTACACAAGAAAATCATGTTTCAAAACGTATTTCGGTAACTCCGGGAGTCTAGAAACAAAACTAACTTTTATGCACTTGAGATATAAGGTAAGTTTAGATTGAGAATATTGTACCACATTAAGCTGATTTCCCGTAATATATATTCTATGGAACATAAACAGCCGGTCTCAGTCCTATAATGTTTGGAACTTAAGATCGTGGTACTTTATTTAGCTGTGAAATATGCAATTGGATGTTTAAAGATTATCTCTGGTCATATTTGAAGTTATTCCAAAGTTCAATCCATCGGTAAATCAGACGCATACATTTTTCCCCTGAAGTTATTAATAGCATCAATGCAACCTGAAGAAAATATATTGTTTGTGAATATCTTTAAAATGGCCCATTACAATACTCGAAGGAAAATATAATGGTAATGAGCTTCCATGTCTTGGCTTCAAGTAGGCTGTGAAGTAATAAGTCACTGAATAAGATGCAACATCCAAATTTTTGACTTCTAGGTATATGTTTCAAAATGAACGCTAACAGTCAAACATTTATTCGGAAATTTCACACAAACAAAATTATGTATCCCAGTGTGGAAATCAATATCGGAACATATCGTCCTAAAAAATATGTAGTATTTAACTCACTTCTTGATTTATTTCCAGTCCAATAAGTTTGTCATGTCTGCGATCACTGCGATGAAGCTTTGGATTGAAATCATCCTCTTTAGAAAAGATTGAATCATATATGCAAGGATTTTCTTGTTTCTAAAATAATAATGATCTTCCAAAATTACTTATTGAACATTCATGTAATAAAATGACATGGTTTGATCTTTAAATTATGGTTTATCTTATGTCCTTAGCTATATGAATATCGCAAAACACGATTGCCAATTTATATACGATGACTTATACGACCCAACTAGTAATGCATACACCAATATGCGGAGTCTGGAGTTCTGATTGGTCTTTTTTCCGCCTAACACTACCTGCTAAGTTCAGAACGCTGATCTCATTCTCTGAGATACGAATCATATAATTCAGACATACTTCGTTTACATACAAACAAAATCACACCATAACATAGAAAATAACATTTGTACACGATCAAGCCAAATGTGGCTGCGATTATGAGAAACTGTGACTAATAGATTGAGAATAACTTGAGGATGGTAAATCATGTAACAGTAACCGACAAGTCAAATAAAAGCTTATAATAAGAGGAATATAATTGTATGTAGTTTGGTTTTTTAATGGTCATACAAATAGAGTATTTGTATAATATTCTTTCACAAATAATTTCTAATAATAGCCGTTCAGTTATTCACGTCCGGATATAACAGTTTCAATTTTTAATCCCAATACGAAACATGAAGCAGAAAGGAGTTAAAATAACTTGGCAAGCGTTGTTACTACTTCTTTTCTGAGCCTGACCAACTCGCTTGTAAAGTACACTGAATATTGGTTAGGTGGGTAAATTCAATTTGTGTAAGACTATATGCTACTCAATGAGTGTTGCCGTCCAGCATAAACTTCTAGGGTCATGGTTGGTTAATGTCAAAAATGTTTACTATATGAGCAGTTTTTTTTAATCTACAGACAATCACAAACGGTTTTGGACTTGCAGAAAATAAAGATTAATTTACAGTGCTGTACTTTGCGACAGTACAGTATAAAAAATAATAGCATCTATGATAATACGGAAACTTATCATAAGAAATAGAGTTCGAAAAGAGTGGATAGTATCGCATTGCATATATTCGTAGAATGTGACTAACAACATTTCAGACCACCTGTGATTTTATAAAATCACTGATGGCGTAATAAAAATAGTTAACTATTTTGATACAAAATGTGATTAAATGAAGAAGTAGTCGACCAATATACACAATACTTGACAAAATAGGAAACATTACAACCAAACTAGGAGGTCAGTTTAGATATAAGCAAGTTGTTTCGGTGGAGTACTTCTAAATAAACATAGAGTGCATGTTAAAAGAATTTGAATATAATATCCAAACGTTAATACGTAATTTGGGAATCAAATGTAAATAAAACATCTTAAGATTTTGAACAAAGCTACAAACATCTATAAACTGTCGATAATGAAAATATAAATAATTCTGAAATGTTAATTTTGGTCACCATATATATTAATGACTCAATATTGTTGATTAAATTCGATGCAATAACCACTTTTTGAAGAATTCATCATATATATGATGAATTTGTTGGTTATTCATATGAATAACCAACATATTAAGTGGCATCTTAGCTAAACTATTTGAGGCCTTCAAAGCGTTTATTTTATAAATTAGTGTAATTACGTATAATAAGACACTTAACATGATTTTATAATATTTTCTTGGTTTAAACAGCAAATATACCTTCTCAGATGAGTTAAAATATGTTCTGTCTTTCGGCAAATTCCGATGTGTAGGGACATGTGAAAAGGCAGAAAGAGAACACAGATGACCCTCTAGATGAAAGGTTTCGCCATTACTAACAACGTCAAGCTGTGCTAGTTCATTAGGTGTCGTCATGTCTTGAAAGATAGTTGTTTGTAAAGTAGTCTTAAACAATACATCAGAACCATCAATAATCAATATTTTTGTCATGAGCTTAAAAAAAGATTGTTCTTTTTGCTCTTGCTTCTTTTGTTCCAGTGAAGCTCCATGTGCGTGTTTATTTTCAACGGATGATGGTCTGACCATTCGACTGCATTAATTTTAGTCATCTAAAATGGTTGTGGACGGAATAGAAGGAGCTTTCGCTTAACATGCTTCCGTGTCTAGTACTAGTGGATCACTAATACCTCCATGCAGGAACCTAGGTATATTAACGATAAAAGAGAGAAAAAAGAAATTGGTAAATCATAGTAAGATACTAAACTTAGTCCTTAAGAATAGATCAAGTCGCCTCTTAAGGGACTCCTGGGAAGTTGCTTGTACTAGCTCAGCTGGCAGCGAATTCCAGCATTCGACAAAGAGTAACAGTTGTGCCTGCAGTTCGTCCTACTATGTTGTATCTCCAATTTCTGGGTGTTACCCCTTAGGTTAGTATTGAGACTACGTTTATGTAGGTGTTTAAGAGGATGTCCAAGAGTGTTAAGGATACTGTAAGTCATTAAAAGGTCACCTCTAAAACGCCTATACTCTAATGGGTAAAGATCAAGTGATTGGAGGTTTAAATTTGAGTCCTTGAACTGATTTCGTGGCTCGTCGTTGGATACGCCCCAGAGTGTCCTTATTCTTTTGGAGTGTAGGAGGAAATACTATGTTTCCGTACTCTAATGGGGACGAATGAAACTATTGAAGATTATGTGGAAAGTTCTCCCGTCAAACTGACCAAAAATGCGCTCCAATGTTACCAGTACAAGGTTTGCTCAAAAGGCATTGCTGTCACAGTTAGCGCAAGACTTTAAGTCTTTGGGCACCAGGACTTCTAAATCTTCTTCGACTCGGGATACTAATAGACAGGAGTTGTAACCATAGTCTGCGATATGTCGTAGATGGACTACTTTACATTCGAAGTTACCAAGATAGTTATTTGTGTATTTGTACATTTCGTTAATCGAATTAATGTGTTTTTTTCACGACAGTAGGACTTTTATATATCAGCAACTATCACATTAGCAGGTAGGAGGTTGTTTTGTTATCATTTGAAAAATAGTAGGGCGGTAATATTGATGCTGTGAGAAGACGAACATTTTAAGGAATAAGTAAATTAATGGTATAAATTTCCACTTGGAAAGAACAAGATGATAGGTAGCCTATGCTAGTCCTAGCAAGAATGGTCTGTCAGCTGATCCAACGTTCTTTTGAAAGAGTCGACAGATGCAATCAAGTGTTTACTTAATGAATTCCACTCCTTGATGATTCGATGGGAAAGTCGATAATCAGCTGACAAGTAATTTGTCCTGTGTTTGTGAACTTTTTCGGAGAGCCCCCGTGAATTCTCTGTTTTGGGAAACAACAAAAGTGAGGGCATATAAGATGCAAACTTATCACTAAGTAATTTGAAAACTGCAAACAAGTGGCCTCTAGTTCTTCTATATGACAATGTGATTAGGGTGAGTTTAGCCAGTCGAGCATCATATTGGATCTTCGCTTTTCTGGGAATCAGATTATTTGCTGCATTATGAAACTTTCTCAAAGCGGTTAGCCACTTTTATGTGGTACTCGAGTTTAGGACGCACGATTACTGTAAACAAAGATTTTAGTGTCGACATGACTAAATGCCATAGATATCGACGATAAGGTTCTAAAACCCTCTGAACATATCGCGCTACAGTGTGCAGTAGTCCTTAAGTCTTGGCTTACAATGAAGTTTAAGTCATTATGTATCTGAACAACAGGTATTTCGCTGTTCTTCACAGTATATATATCTGTACCTTGATGATTAATATGCATCACAATGAAATTGGAAGTGTTTATCGGCAACTGTCAGGTTTGAGACTTTTCAGATAATTTCTCTAAACACAGTATCATAGCTAAACAATTTGAAATCTACCCGTATTCTTCCTTGACGCCTAACTAGGAACTCCGTTATCCATAATAATAGATCGTCTCCAATCCTGGCACTACAACCGAATCAACCAAGGGAGGAAATCATCAGTATCACGTACTCCCAGGAATTGGTTGCAATACTACATCTTTATTGTAGCCCACTTTCGATCTATGCAATGTCACAACTGGCTTTTCATACGTCAAATCTACTAATTAATCTAAACTTCAATAATGGTTCAGTTGAGTTGTCTTAGTAAAATTCCAAAGAGTCCAGATAAACACGTGGCTCTAAACATTTGACCAATTCGAAACGATGTTAAGATTATGGAAACTTCATGGTCCAAACTGGTCGCAAGTTTCAGGAACTTTGCCTTCGTTGTTTGGCAATGAATCTTTTAGACTAGAAGTTAGGTAGACGAAGATCAAAAGAAAAGATATCAGGAGATGGTCAGTAGTTTTAAATAGAGTAAAATGTCAAGTACCGAAACAAGATGAAAGACGAGATCCAGATAACTACCCAGTCATTTCTTGCATTTCTAGTCAATGCGTATTTACGTATAAACTGGTGCTTGACGTCTTAAAAAGCCTATTTCAGTGAAGCATGGTAATGCTACTAAATCTTGTTGATTAGCCATACTAGTTAAAACTGGATACAGACAACTAGTTATTAGTATTGATCGAGTTAGTAAGATTTTACTACTAATCAACATTACAATACGATTATACATGTGAGCACTAATCAACAGACTAATAGAATAAAGGTAACGTAAGCAAAATCGATCGATTAACTTAAAGTAAACATGGAAATTAGTAACAGACCGCGTTCCTTCAGTCAGGTTCACCTTTTTGGCCACTTGTGAAGATTGATTCTTTTTACCTGTCGATGCTGCAAATGTTTTGTCAGGCAAACTGTCTAACAACCAATATGGTGGTTCATGTTCTACATGAGATGGTTCTAACCTATCAATACCTACAGAGTTGATGTTTCCGTGTTTTTCTGTAATGAAATATTTAGATTTCCTTGAGATGACTTTGAAAGGACCTGTGAATGGGAGGCCGCTCCAAAAGCTAGTTCCTCTGCTGAACACTGCGTCAGTTTTGACAGATGTTCGTCTTCCCAACATAAATAACGGTAGGAATTCTGTCCGATTATTGGGGTTTGACTGCCATATAAGGGCAGCTTTTAGTTGACGGTTGAAACGTTCTACCATATCGTTAGCCTGAGGGCGATATGCAGTGTAACGTATCTAGTTGGAGCCTAGAACTTAAGCTAAGTTATTAAATAGTTTATATTCAAATTGTGCTCCTCTTTCCGTCGTTATTGTTATACGTGTGCCAAAAATGGACATCCAATTTGACATGAAAACTTTAGCCACTATTTCTGCTGTGATGTCCTTTATCGGTATGGCTATAGGGAAGCTCGTGAATCGATTTTTACATGTAAAAGGATCACTAAAACCATTTATTTGCGATAAAGGGCTTGAATTTTTTTGGTTTTCCTTTAAGTGAATCTGTCAAAGGCTGCATCAGTTGTGCACAACCAGGTATGAATCTGCGATAAAAGTTAATCAGACCTAGAAAACTTCTCAGTTGTGTTAGATAACTGGGGATGGGTTATTGTTTGATGGTGTCCACTTCTTCTGTTACAGGCGTAATCCCTTCTGGGCTTATTGTTTGCTTGTGAAATTCCAGAGTTCAGACGCGGAAAACACAGTTACTTTGATGCATATTCATTCCATTTTCATCCAGACGTTTTAAATCTGTTAGTTCATGCTTTTCGTGTGATTGTAGATCGGGACTGGCAATTAACAAATCGTCTATATACCCCTGTGCAAATAGTATATCTCTAAAGAGGTTAACCATGAATCTTTGAAATTTTTGTGCCGCATTCCTCAGGTCGAATGACATGCGTAAAAACTCGAACAAGCCAAAAGGTTTAATAATAGCTGTCTTGGAGACATCTTCATCAGCTACCGGGATATTGTGATATGCCCTGACTAAGTCATTTATGGTAAATACGTTCATACCATGTAAGCCGTTTGTGAAATCTCAGGTATGCGGTATTGGGTACCTATCTGGTACGGTTTGACGGCTTAGGGCACCGTAATTCTCTCACGGTCGTCAATCGCCTCCGTTTTTTTTTTGACACCATATGCAAAGGGGATGCCCACTGACTAGCAGAGGAACGGATAATACCCAGATGTAGCATGTAGTCAAATTCAGCTCTAGCACCTTAGCTGGTGCTAGTTTCCTGAGTCTTTCAAACACAGCTGCACCTTCGGTTTCAATAGTATAACTTACAATTAGTTTGCTTTTCGGTTTCGTCTAGTTAAGTTTGGAAATTCCGCGAATATATCTTAGAATTTTACTGTTGTCACTGGAGGAGTCTGTATTAAGTTGAAAGATGTGATGTGGCTTTCTTTGCCATTCGAGTAATTCAAAGTTTCTTCCAATGTCAAGCGTCGTTTTTTAGTGTCAACTAGAAATTCGTTTCTCCTCAAAAATTCCATCCCCAGTGTTGTCAAATCTAAATCGGCTGCAGTCAAAACTCAGAGGAATCGCCTCCTGAACCCCAAATCTATTGTGAAGGTCTTCTTTTCAAATCTCGCGACTTTAGTTTTATTGGTAGCTTGAAGTATAACTGGGGATGTTTTTCTACCCAGCTCAGTTTTATTTTGAGGAATGACACTAGTTGCAGCGCCAGTATCTACCAAAAAGTTCAAGATAGATTTTCTGTCTCACACAAAACAAAGGTCTGTTTAGGCGCCCCTCTTCGGTCGTCAAAACCTGAAGAGGGTTTGTAAAATTACAGTCTACTATGATATTAGCACTGCTATAATAATAGACCTAATCCTAAAATTGTAGATTTATCATGATGTAACTGTCTAATGTGTAAGTTCTTACGTGGAAGCTACATCATCGTCTACATCAACTCATTGCATTGTAAAAATTACCAATACGTGATAGAGAACAAGCTTAGGCTAGAGATAGAATATATTTAATATGAATAAAAGATACAAGATAACATTCAGCTGGGACCACGCCTGCAAGGCCGAGCCATGCCACCTGACCAACTCGTATTAATTCCATTCCTAATCCCCGCCTTCTTCATTCTTCTGTATTTCTCCGCGTTAAATGTTTAATGTC